TTTCTGAATAGCATCATCGATCTCTGCTGCAAGCACAATGCGAATCGGCGGTGAGGCCTGGGAGGCCAACGTCTTCAGGTCTTTCCACGGTTGTGAACTGCCCAGTGCTTTGTTGATGGCCTCGGCTCCTAAGTGTTGTAGGAGATTGGTGGCGCAAGAACTAAGCCGATCTTGATGAACTCCATGCTGTTTCAACACCGCTTGTAGCAGAAGTTGTTCGGGCTGGAGCGTGCCTCCCAGCCGGATGGCCTCAGTGCATGGTCGCATCGGCTGAATGATGGATTGGGCAAATGGGACTCTCCAGTGATCTGCTTGCACTGCCGTGGTGGCCTTCGTAAATGGCGCTCCTAACCCATGGGAAAAGAACCACCCAACGGTTTGGAATCCACAGTCCGCCGCAAACTCTGATGGCAGCAGAAACGATTCGACGGTCAGCTCAAACGGGCCGAGTGCCTCAGTGATGAGCTGGGTGATGTGCTTCTGAATGTCCTGCGGGACAAGCAAGGTCTTTGCGGTGGGCGAGACATGCAATGCTATTGGGCTCCAATGACTGAGGCATAGGAGTGGTGCCATAAAAATGCTCTGCCGATGGTCAATGTCGAAGGCATGTAGGCATTGGAGTGCCCATGTGGCCACTGATTGATCTAGATCTTGGGCACTATCCAGCACGATTGGGTCGGCAACTTGGTACCCTTGGTTGCGCAGAAGGCGCACATAGTGACACATTTCATCAACTGCAACTAGTGGGCCTTGTTCTAGAAGTCCATGGAACCTGCTTGAGCCTTGGAGGTCGAGAGTGATCGCCTGATGGGCATGGACCTGGGAGCATTTGGGCAGGGAGTGGATTGCACCATTATCAACCACATACCAGGTCCCTGGCGTCAAGAAACTGTTGAGTGGATGTGGAATCCCTGTCAAAGTCTTAATGACAATTGGTTGTGGGAGGCAAGTGGCTTCGGCTTCGGCCTGTGACAGTTGGCCGACTGTGGCTCCCGGTGAGACCTGCATGCGAAATGGCTCACCTCCCTGACGGCACACCACTACCTGAAACTTGTTCTTAGGCAGGAGTTGCTGAGCAATCATTGAGCTTCGTGCGTCATCAGCCGGTGGGTCTGGATCCTCTGTCTCTGCATCGGCCGCAGAAGGGCTCTGCTGGTCCGGATGAACCTGTGTCGGAGGCACGAGGGCAGCATTCTGCTTATGGGTCTGGCTCGGCTCATGAAGGTCAACTCGAAAGGGACTTATCCCCCCTTTCCCTTTGCCCCTGGCATGGCTGACTATGGCATGGGATGGTAGATCAAGCACCTGTGTTTGGTCCCCTGCGAAGTCTAGCGATGTGGTGACAGCTCGCTCCGGGGCTTGGTGGTTTCCCTGACATGACTGTGGGCGAATGGGTGCCGAATGACCGGATGGGTGTGCATAATCAACGCTTGCATGGGTCATGGTCCTGTTTGCGAAAAACTCTAAACCCCCGGTAGGCGAAACCCCTTGGAACAAACAACTTGTGCTTGAAAGGGATAGCTCATCTTCTGCTTTACGCTTGTTGGTTTCTCTAATCGAAGCATGGCTTTCACTTGTGCCTGGGGAGACTGTCCCTGCAGCTTGGTGGGGCGGGCAATCATACCGCACCCCAAACTTTGCGAGCACTGCCGTTTGAAACAGCATGGATTCTCGTGTATGGGCAAATGGCTGCAGCATCATGTCACGGGCTTCGAAAGTTGCAATACTCAACTGCAGGAGGCTTTGCTCTGGCAAAGACTGTGGGACGTCCTCCCCAAAGGCATGACGTAGGGCTTGCACTACTTGTGAGACGTGCCACAATGCCTGAGCTGGTGAGGCCATCTGACCTAATGCAGTGAGATCCAACCTGAGTCGTCTGGTGTCCGGATGCTCCAAATGGTCAGTGGGGACCAGGTGTAACACTGCAACTTCGTCCGGGTGGACATGTCTCATGTTGGCTATATCTTGTCCTCTCACCTGCGTGGTGCCTTCGAGTGGGATGAGAGCCCCATACAATCCTTTGTCTTCAAGTCTTTGGGGGGGAGAATCCTCCTGCTCTGCATCCGCAAGCGCATGCTCTTAGTTGAGAGCCCCATGCATGGAGTGCCGTCGACAATGGTTTGGTGGGGCAAACTGCATTCTGACCCAGTCCTCCGGGCTGTGTCGCAAAGACCTCAAGCTCGTCTGGTGTGAGTTGCAGCTCCTCTACATGGCTATCAGGCCACCTAGGCAACTTGGGCAGCAGGTGTCGGAAGGCGGGTTTGAAGTCCAAAGATGGAAAACCTCGGAGATCTGGCATCTTGATATGTGGGTGTGTGATGACCGCCCACCATCGTGTCCTCTTTGCTGGCCAAAAGTCTTGGAGACTGCAGGTCTGTTGCTGCATACGGTAGCCAGTGTTTTGGCAAAATGCCCTCAATGTATCCTGTACCCAGGTCGACATCATGGCCTCCTTGGTGCATTCGAGGATGAGTGCCAGTGGCTGGTGAACATAGCCCACCATGACCATGCCTTCAAAGCTTCTTGCTCGAGGGTCTAATTGTTGTCTGCGGTCCCCCAATGCCGAAAACGGCTGGCAGGCGAATCCTCCAGTAACAATGCATGGCGTGGCAGTGTACTCTAACAGTGCTTGCAAGACCTGGGGGCTGCTGATGTCACCTTGGATGACCGGCTCTCGCTTTGCCTTCAACCATCCTGCATAGGTCGGGTTGATCTCCACGTGGCAACGGACCCGACAATTGAGGTATTTATATCCAGCTGTCATGATGGCATATCCAGAGCAGATGTCAATGACTTCTGTTGCAGTCGAGCTATCTGCTATGGCATGGATCTGGATCGAGGAAGGTTGTGCTTCCAGAACTTGAAGTCCGTCTTGGGTCCTTTTGGAGGCGGCAATGACCGAGAAACGATCTCCAGTGAGCTTCACTCCAGCTAGTAGAAACCGTTGGCCTTTCATCAACGATGTGCAATGAAAGGCGGACCTTTGGTGGTCGTAGAACCAGGCTTTGCCTGAAATGGTGATCGTCCCACCATCAGGCTCGCTTTCGATCCATGGCTCAGGGTCAAACATTCCCTCCCGTGCCTTTGGCCTGCACGGGTGTACCTGCTGGTAGGAGCTCGGGCCGACACCTAGCGATGGCCTCCAACCTAGTAGCGATGGCCTCGGTTCTCCCTGGATTCCATTTTGGAGATTGTGGCTATATAACCCAACGAAGAATGCCTCCCCTCCCCTGAGCTGTGTGAGTATGCGACCAGCGAGAGGCGCTGCATGCAGGGACCACCCAGATTCCCGGATAGACTCCACCGAGTCTCCTGTCCTGGAAGGAGACCTCTTGGATTTCGCGACTTCTCTTTGCTGCACACTCCACCACATGCCTGGCAGCAGAAGGAGTCTAGGTCCTGTACGCAAGAGAGTCTGGTCTACCGATCCACCGATGTGTCTGACCAGGTCCTGTACTCTTCTCGAAGTAATATTTATTGTTTCTAATCGCTTCTTGTTACTACTAGTAAGGCACTTGTTACTAGAAGCGATGCACTTGTTACTAGTAGCGTCCTTGTTACTACTAGTAAGGCACTTGTTTCTAATAGCTTCTTGTTACTACTAGTAAGGCACTTGTTACTAGAAGCGATGCACTTGTTACTAGTAGCGTCCTTGTTACTACTACTCTCCCTGGAACTATCATGGAAGTGAAGTTCACCACCTGTTTGGTTCGTGGATTTCATGGTCATCCAAACTCGGGGCCATGCCATCCACGTAACGTGAAGATTCCAGGCAAAGTATTCTCAGGTCTCGTGGAGGGACTTCGAATCTCGGATTTGGACGTCCACGAATCCCTTCATTCCAATCACGGCCGCCCCCCGCAGGGACGGCCGGCCCGAGGAATGCTGACCAGAACGTTCTGTTCGCTCGTGAACTCGATGACGCGCTTCGAACAAGAGCTTGAGATGGACGTGTGTATATGTTTATATGGGTAAACTGGTTTACTTCTATGTATAGTTATTTATAGATATCAAGTTCGACACCTCCATATCATCCCACATCCCAAAATGTCCCAACATGGACTTCAAGACACCTACAGTAACTGACCGGAATGAAGAATGGGTCAACCCTTCAACCTCGCTGATTTCCCGCCCGAGCTCAGGTGGGGACCCATTCCGCCAGGCCCAGCGCGAGCAAAGGTTGGGCCTTCGAATGCACTCGTAGATCTTGGCGCTGCGCTGCTCGGAGCTGTCGGGGGAACCCGAGAGCTCGCGCGTCTGGAGGAACTGCTTGAATCTGGTCAACATCCTGCCCACCTGCAGTGGAAGAAAGCAGGCGCCTTTGACCCTTCACAAAGGCTGCATGATGAACATGGCAACAGGGGAGGCAACCATCGGCAAAGAATAGACCGTCATCCTCAGCTGGATGGGATGATTTGCTTGAAAACTGTACAGGATGTCCGACGATGTCCCTAAATGGATCGGAGATATGTGAAAAACGATTTGTACCTATGACAGAACGTCGCGTTTCACAGACGGTCAGCATCAGCACGTCAGAGACGGTCAGAGCTGCAGAGCGGTGGTCAGCACGTCCAACGGTTCGTTCGCTCTCCGAGACGGGTCGTGACTCAGGCGCCCCCTGTGACGTTCTGTGACCATCATGTCCTTCTGTGAACAACAAACCAACTGACCGTTCTGACTCTTAGGGTATACCAGTCCAAGGGCCTGGCGTAAAACCTGGTGTAAAACCTGACCTCTTGGAATCATTGAATGTGTTAACTGTGTTTGATTGTTTTTGAATGACTGGACTGGACACAGTGAAATGAGGTGCTTCAAGTGTAAAGTACCGTACCGCGCAGCGAGCGCAGCCCGCGGTAGACCAGAGTGACCCTCGGCCTGTTGCATCAGAATATGGTCCTGTGAGTCAGTGTCCTTTCTTTTCCTATTAGAACATACAACCACAACTATCAAAACAGAGGTCATGTTTGGCTTTAGAATCTAGGGATCTGGTGCAAACCTGCTCAAACCGTCTTCGCCGAGTCGACGGCACCGTGCACCTCGCGATGCATGATGCTTGGGAAGATGCAGGCAGCTGACGAGGGTCTGCGCGCCAGGGCATAGGTGACCCGCACTGCCCGCGTGCCCCGCTTCGCATGAGGAGCGATCGTAAAGGAGCTTCGCCAAAACGACAAGCGCACAGCACCTCAAAACGACCAGCGCAGCCGTGTCTTAACTTAACGTGACACAGTTCGCTTCAACGGAACAATCACCTGTTGCTTCGCCATGTTTCTTCATGTAAGAAAGAAGGGGCCTCATCAAGGCCTGAGGGATGAAAGCTCACGACAGGGATGGGGGAAAATAATGGTCTACTAATTGGTGAAACACTATCCTCATCAAGGCCTAAAAGACCATCTTCCTTGGGCCACGGCCCGATCTGGGCTGTGGCAAGCGCACGCCGCGGAACTTGGGACGATTGTGTTGGAAGTTGTAGCTCGAGAGCCTGGCGAATACAGCGCAGAGACATCTTTAGCGTGAGAAGTCTGATGGAAGTCTGACCGGACCAAGTTTTTTTGGAAAGATAATGAGCAGTCTGCCAGAGCCTCTCAGATTGATCTGATGTCATACCCAACGAACTGACTCCAAGCTGGAACAAAAATGAGAAAAGTGAATATACTATTGGATAGATCTGATGATACACCTTGGTGAAGAAAGGGGCAAAAGTTCGAGCTAGGCGAGCAAAAGCATCCATAAAACCCTCAAAAAGATCCGAACAACGTTCAGGGACTGTCGTGCATTGTAACACGCTATCAGCTTCCTTTTTGGTCTCAACGACATGCGAGAAGACAAACCAGAAGTCACATGTTCGGGGTGGTGTTTAATCCCCAAGTCAGTGGATGTGTGGATGGCTCCGTTCGGGGCACGGAGCCAAGCTCCTTCCTCCGAACTCGGAACGTGGCACCGAGCTCGACTGACTCGGACTCCAACCCAGCACGGGAGGACCATAACGCACCCAAGGGCTCGTCCAAGGCATCCAACCTCCGGGCGCTGTCCGCTTTGGCCGCTTCTTCCCCCCCCACGTCGGGCCGGGCCAATCTGTCCCTTTTTTGGGCGCGAAAAGCTCCGTTTTTGGATGACGATGCTATGTTTAAATGTCATGCGATCTCATGGAGCTGGGTGATGCATGGCAACATGGTGTTTCTTTGAGGCTACATGCTGTCTATCGTCGATCCCTTAAGCTGAGAAGTCGGAGCAGCTTGGCGAAGCAAGCTGCGGCCGACCCAAGCGAGCGCAGCTTGTAGATCTCATACAGGTCCCTGTTTTCTTAGGCTATGTGCCACACTATGTGCTGTACATGTAACTTGTTGGAGAAAGACCTGGATATACTGCGCAAAATGCTGGAAAGCACTCCCTGAAATAATCGTAAAGTGGAAAACGATCTGGGCTGTTGCAGTTGTTGTCCTTTACGCAGCCTGTTAGTTTCCCTATTTTTGTACACATGTTACACTTTGACTCACCTTTGCAAGTGGAAACACCTTTGGTCGTCATATAATGTCATATTATACGTAAATATACGTAAATAGTCTTGCCAGCGCCATACGCCCAGTACCATCTGCGCCATACTCGAATGAATGAAGCACAAGGGACCAGCTGCAGTGGAGGATGTTGTCTTCAGTGCGGCCATGGCCAGACCGGAAGACACGAAGGAGGCTGTCCTGCTCCAGCTCGTTGTTCAGCCTCGATGCATTGGGAACCAAGGATGCGTCGGGATGCGTCGTTGTCATAGAGATGAATGACTTCTAACCTGCTGTTTGTCTTGTTCTCCTTTGGCGGGATGGTGGGCTTAAACCATAAAAGATGGCGGAATGGAAAATGTCATATCATTTCTTGTATCAAGGTTGCCTTTGCAGCGTTTCAATCAAGTACATCTCCGGGTTCGGATTGTAAATGACTGCATGGGTCCAGACGAACCAGCGAGTGACTAACGCCAAGTCTTAATAGCCACTCAGAAGTGTGTTTTGGGATATTGTCGCTCCGATCTGCAGCACAAGCCACACGTTTTGTATACCACACGTGAGGCGAGTGCAGCGTTTCGGTTCACGAAGGGGCGACATCACCGGCCTTGCGCAGCCTCCTGTGACATATCTCAATCGAGTTCCCAGGCTTGCCCCTTATGCTTTAACGATGGTCGTGTGAAATTGAGTGTGATAGGGCGACCTCCCAGTTCGACACCCTGGAAGGGAGATATGACCAAAACACATTGGGCCAAGGGGTCTACCCATCAGCCCTTGTCTCTGATGGTCTTCAGCACATCCACGACCGTTTCATGCCTTCTTCGAACAAGAAGAGCAACCACGACCACGACCAGGACCAGCCGCAACCAAAGACAAGCCACAGCCAAGACCAGCGACCGCGAAAAGAACGACGACAACGACCAGCATCAGCACCAGCAACCACAACAATCGGAAACAACAAGTGCAACTGAGCTTCGGCCAATACGTATGATTACACCTCTATGACATAGATGTTTAATGGAATGTCAAGGGATGTCAAGGGAGGTTTCTGGCTATTGCTCAACTGAGCCCCCAGCTGCTGAACCTCCAGATCGTCATTGTGTTCATGCTGCTGCACATATTCCAGCAGGCCATCCAATGCTTGGACGATGTCACAACCCGTGCAGACGGTGCTGGCCACAGCTTGCAGCAAGTCATTGGAGAGTCTGAAAGCCATATCAAGATCTTGGGTCTCGTCTCGGTCCTGTGCACGCAGGAAGACCCCGATGAATCTCGACGCGGTCGCGGAGTGCATTCTTCGACCCCCGGTCTCGGTGAGGTCGACCCCCGTGTTCGACCCCATCAAGCGATTCATCGTCCATTCACTCCAGACCGACATCAGTAGGACATGGTATACACCCTATCCTGACAAGGTGGTTAGGCTGGGTGCCAGGGGAGTCTAACCACCTTCTTTCTCATATGGTTGGAGCCCTAGGGATACATCGACCGATAACACCAGGGAGACCGTATTTCTTGGACCGAGCGGATGAAGACCCCCCCCTCCTCCACGGTATGATTCCTAAGTTATTGTTCCATATTCCAGACACAACCCATGGGACTGCCATAGGACTGCCGCCCCATTGACCCCCAGTCAACCACCCCAACTGATCGGCATATATGGCCATGGAATGCCATGGAATACTGTTCCGAAGATCGAGGTATGAGAGGACAGAAGGGGGGTGGGAGGGTGGAAAGGACAACAAGCTGCCAGCTTCAGAACACTCATGGCATGGTTTTGGAGGGCCCCTGAGACAAACAAATGAGAAAACGCCAGGAACACCCGGACCTCAGGAGCCCATATCAAGCAACAGCTGTTTACCAACCTCTTGAAGCGGGTAGTTCGATCAGTAGTTGTTGGATCGTTGGCTTGCATGGTTTGAACCGGATACTGGAATGCTACTGCGCTACTGCGATCATGCTTCGACACCAAACGACCAGAACATTTGTGCGATGCTGAGGGGGGGCCCTTTTTCCCGAGTCGACGTTGAACAGCTTTGGCTCATGGATGATGTGGTCATTGCTGTCGTTTCACTCTTGATCTTCGCTTGCAAGAAGAGGTTGGTTTGTGGGACTCGCGGTGGTGGCCAGTGGCTCTAGCTCATCTTCGGCATCATCCGGATCTGGCCCCCTCTTGGGTGTGCGTGCTGCACTGATGCCAGAGCAAAACATTCCTATGAGCCACAGGACACACACCGACATCGCACAAAGCCCTGCGATCAGCGATGCCAAGCTCTTCTGCTTGCCTTTCAAGCACTCAAAGTAGTCTGGGAACAAAGCTCCGTCGACGCACGCCAAACTGACGACATTGGGCTGGAATCCGGAATCGCATTGAGTGGTGCACAGCTGCCCATTCTTGATGGAGTCGCCCTCAACGCACCAATCAGGCAATACCAGGCAATCCTTTCCATGCAGAGGTGGTGCTAGCCCCGGTGCAGGGGGCAAGCCTTCCCGAATTGGCGGCTGTGCCATGGCAGGCAGCATGAAAGGAAGGCCTCTCAAGGCGTTCATGAGGATTGTGCCAAGCAATCCAATAAACCAGCGCTTTGGCTGAGAAGTAGCCGCGTGGTTGGCTGAAAGTGTTTTTTGGCTGAGAATGATTTGCTTGTGGCCAACGTGACTACCATGTCCACATCATTTGGACTTAATCATGCTTCACTCTCAAAATCCTTGAGACCTCCTAGTTTGTTCACATGTTGGACATAGATGAGTTTTTAAAGATGTCATTGTATGAAACATGTATAGCTGTGTATAACTGTGATTAACTCTATGTATATATATATATATAATTCTATCTATGAGCTTCATGATTACAGCATGAGTATATATTTATATTATATTTTATATATATTATATACTATAGATAGTAGATATGTATCTAGTATAATTCTAAATTGGATCTCCGGTCTCTTTCTTAAGGCCCGACACGTCGCACCGCCTAGACCGACACGTCGCTTGAGACCTTCACAGCTCGGCCAAGAAAGTGGACCGCAGCTGCGGAGCGGACCGCAGCTGAGCGACGGCGCAGACCCTGAGATGAACAAACAAACAAAAACTACCAGACGACAGGGTCGCCCAAAAGCACAGTAGGAGATGACAAGGATGATGATGATGATGATGATGATGACGACAAGGGCCATTAGCTCTCAGGCCCCATGCCATCCTATGGCACGGGCTA